GATTTAATATTCTATCGCTAATGGTTCTATCACCGTTGCTAAATAAAAATGCTTGGATGGGTAAGTTTTAGGTCAGAACACAAAGCTTACCCACTATCTTGTCACTGTCCACATAGAACAGTCTCCTTACCTGCAGTCATTCCACTTACCCTACACCACTGAGCCACCTTACACGCTTTGTCCTAAGGAGACATAGCTACTCAGTTTCCCCTAAATAGAACCTGGCAGTTACCAGTCGCCAAACGTTGCACACATTGTTTTGCCTTCTCTGACTCTTAGGTCCACATTCTTATCTTCACGTGACCACCACCACCCACGTCAACAGACCCGGCAGCAGGCCTGCGGGATGGAGATGAACTAGGGGCAGCGACTGTCCTCACCGGGCTTACAATTCAGAGCAGAGGAAGGCTAAACTCACAAACAGAAAATTTTTATACCACGTGAGAACTCTAGAATACGTGTATGTTTAAGAGACTCAGGGGCCATGTGGAAAAGGCACACAATTGTGCCCCAGTTATGTGGAGACGTCATAAAATACTTTCACCGGAGGAGGTACTGCCTGAGCTGAGTCTTAAAGATAAGGAGAAGCTGGCCACCAAAATAGAAAACTCTAGACAATGCACAGTTAAGAAATGGTCTAGAACTGCAAAAATACACGTACAATAGTCCTGGAACAGGCAGAGGCCATTCATAAAAGACTTGTATATCAATTCAGAAACAAAATTTATTCTTGAGGCCATGGGACCCACTGGTGGCTTTTCAAAAGGAGAATAGGGTGTCCCTGGTGGCGCAGTGGTTGAGAGTCCGCCTGCCGATGCAGGGGACACGGGTTCGTGCCCCGGTCCGGGAGGATCCCACATGCCGCGGAGCGGCTGGGCCCGTGAACCATGGCCGCTGAGCCAGCGCGTCCCCGCAACGGGAGAGGCCGCAACAGTGAGAGGCCCGCGTACCGCAAAAAAAAAAAAAAAAAAAAAAAAAAAAAAGGAGAATAACATGTTCAGACATATATTTGGAAGATAAATTTGAGAACCACAAGTTTGGGAAAATGGTGATCAATATGGGGGAAAAAGGGGCTTCCCTGGTGGCACAGTGGTTGAGAGTCCGCCTGCCGATGCAGGGGACGCGGGTTCGTGACCCGGTCCGGGAAGATCCCACATGCCGTGGAGCGGCTGGGCGCGTGAGTTATGGCCGCTGAGCCTGCGCGTCCGGAGCCTGTGCTCCGCAACGGGAGAGGCCACAACAGTGAGAGGCCCGCGTACCGCAAAAAAAAAAAAAAAAAAAAAAAAAAAAAGGGGGAAAAGTCAGTCAAACAGACAACGTCTAATGAAGGCGGAATTTGGGATGTCACTCGGGAAAAGTCCTTCATGGACACGTAGGAGACTGTACGCTCAGAGGGGCCAGTTCAGCATCCACTACAGGCGCCAAATGGGAACTCCGTCTCCCCTGAATGCCCCTCACCGCCTGTACACAGCCCCGGGCCCCAGTCACCGGGAAAACAGTCCTGAGGCCCAACGTTGAGACAAGGGGCAGCTCAGCAAAAGTTAAGAATCTGAACCTATCTTTCCTCTAATGCTTTCACGTTTCTCCTTACTTCGTTCCTGACTTAACCTCCTCCCACTGCCCACTCGGGGCGGGGCGGGGGGAGGGTGGGAACTGCCCACTGCATCTTTCTCCCTGTGACGGAAGTGAGGGCAAGTGTGAACGAACATACGCCCCTCCTGCCGTGCTGCACCGTGAATAGTTCTGTGCTAGTGTGTGAAGGACTGAGGTTAGCTTTTAAATATACTTCCCCTTTCTGTTCGCTGAGGTTGCTGTGGTCACACAGGGGGCCTCTTCCCCACGCTTCCCCAGCCGCCCAGATTATCCCATAAGTAATTGTGGCAACAACACTGAAAGTCAGCATTCGGGTTAACAATACTGTGGTCTGTAGACACACACACAGAGCCACACACACAGCTTTGAGGAGGCCTCATGGGGAGCCATCTCTAACCATCATGGTGCATTTTTTAATCTCCTCTTTGGCCACGTTGCCAAAGGACGAATAGTTGCGGGACTGCGATCCTCTGTGCAGCCAGAGCGCTGAAGACTGCCTGCGGAGATGAGGACTCCGAAGGAGAAGCCCTTCACTACCGTGACCACTGGGCGGACAGACCTATCAGAGGGCTCCGTGTGATGTAATGACATTTTGTTCTGTCTAATAATTCAGTGACTGGATGTTGAAATTAAATTTTACTCTCAGCCAAGGATATCACCTTAATTGGTCAAGTCTGGAGGTGTCCTGACAAAACTTCAAACTGGCAGGGCCTGGTGACTGGAGCTGGGGGCAAGATGAGGGGGAAGGACTCTAACAGGGTCACTGACCCATGGGGTGAGTGAGGCGCCATCACAGGAGCTGTAAAATAACTCAGCATGATTTTGGCCACACTGAATGCCAAACACAGTTCAAGCGTTTGGAAACAGAACCTTACGGTACCCCAGGCTGACACACAGGCATGAGAGCCACAGCCTATTAGGATGGCTGGGACCCCAGGCGGCCGGCCAGGTGGAACGGCAAGAAGATCCACTTGAGGGCGGAGCTGTGGACACAACAGGCATTTGTGCTTTTGCTATCACTGTCCCCCGGACCTGAAGCGTGTGCTGGCAGCTGCGAGGCAGTGAATAAATATGTTCACTATTGAAACGAATTTGAAGAGGCAGTTAGATGGATCTGAGAAGTAAAACTCAGAGGAGTTATCGTGAGCATGTATAATCAGCAGATTCTAGAGACTTCCAGAAAAGGAAGGAGCCCTCCGCCATCCTCCTGCCCATGAAGATGGGACCATGAGTTGATGCCCCCCATGTTTCTCCCTGTCACAGCTCACACAGGAGGTGTTGGTCAAGCCAGGATACAGATTCAGATTTCAACTGGTGGGCTGAACCTGCGGCCACGACGGTTCTTCTAGCCGGCTTCCCATCCCATTCGTCTGTTGAGAACCTCACCTCTCTAAAGACACAAGAACAAAGCTGCCCTTATGTTCCACCCGCCAGTGACTGAAATGCCTTCTCTAATACTCGGAATCTAACTACCCTCCAACAACTCTGTGGATGCCAACAGCGTGCTTGAACTTAATTCACTGCCTGAGTTCCCGCGATGACGCTCTGATCATTCTAGGAACACCGCATCATGTAACACGGAGCCCCCACGTGGCTGAGGGTTTGCTGAAAATGGGACAAACTGCTCTGTGCCACCTCCACTGTCAACGGCGGCAAATGGAGTAAGTCTTCCTGCCAGAAGTCTTCCTTGGCTGGGTCAGAGCCTCTCCATCCCTTCTGCTTTCTATCACTGCTGTATCACACAGTTTATATCCTATTCCATCCAGCAGCAATCCTGGCCTCTGTAAAAACTAATTCTCTTATATTTAAAATAGGTTTTCTGAGGGAACTTTATGAAGGCTATTAAAATTCATTTGCAGATTAAATTGCCAGCAATGCTGTCATAGTCATACGTATGAATTCATTTAGGACACAGGATGCACATGGGGCCCAGGGAGTCCTAATTATTTCTAAATGAAGGCGCCCTGATGTCATTTCTGGCACATACCCTTCTTCCTGGGCACATAAATAGCCTAAGGGGAAAGGAGATATAAACTGTCATAAAGTTTTATAAAATGTCTATTTACAAAAAGCATGTTCCAATGCATGTGTGTGTTAATATATATGTGTGTGTATATACACCTATTATATACACACATATATAGGTACACACATCTATATCATACACACATACAAACACATACACATATACACATATCCACACACATCTTTCATCCTGCTTAAATTTCTAGGTAGGTATGTATGTATCTATCTATCCAGCCAAACATACGTAACATACATCATTTAAAAAATAAAGTATTGGTGCCAAGGGAACATCGGGAATGGTGACTACCTATTGCTTTCAGGGATAGAACCAGCCCGGGAGCAAGGGGGACATTCAGCCACCTGCCGGATATGACTCCGTATCTGACAGACCTTTCACTCTACCCCGCAGGTCATCAGAAGAGCACCTGCACTTCAGTAAGCTCACCATTTACCTTCTCAGTCCTGAGGAAAAGGGGCCTGACCACGTAAATGTTGCTGGGTTTTGAAAAGATCTGAGTGTGCAGTACTACCAATCACTGCGACAGCTGGGACCATGAGGCGCCACTAGGAGAAGCTACGGAGAGGAAGAGAGCCCTGGGTGGTCAGGGGAGGCCTGGGCTACACCAGAAAGGAAAACTGCACCAAGTGGCAGACACCTTTCTGCTTCGCAAGTCGCCCACAGCCAGGCGCTGCTGAGGTCCTGCCGGGGCTTTGCGTCACAACCTTAAAAATTCCAAATCCTTCCCGTAGACACGTAATCAGAAGATCTAATAAGATTTCTCTTCCTATTTTGGGGTGCTGACAGTGAGAGGAAGCAATGGGGTCCACTATTCTTAAGTCGAACATAGATCACATTTTAAAAATTGTCTGTGAGAGGAGTCAGAGCATTATGAGGCGATAGTTACGTAGTTAAGATGACTTTGGGAAAAAGGTTTGAAGTGCAGAAGGAGCGTACATATCTCACAGGGAAGGGAGACCTGTCAGCATCCACATCAGTCACTAAGGACATCTCAAAAGCAAGAAAACTCAATTTAAAAACACACAAAAGAAAAAATAAAAGAACTTCAATGCACTTAAAATCTTGTTTGCCTAACGTTCAAGATTCGTTGTTCAACACATTCTGGTTCAAGAACGTGATGATCCACGTGGATTAAATTAACTATGTGAAACAAACTTTGCCTTAGGGTATAACGTACTTAAAAATCAAATGTGATTACAAAATATATATAAATCTTTTAAAAAAGATTTTACGATAAAATGTAGCTGCTGTTTCTAAAGGAAGCCAGGAGAATATCCCTCTTTTACGTATAAACCGTGGGTCTCTCTGACAAGACGACGCACACACGGGGCAGCGGGCAGGCACGTGGCCCTGGGCGCCTCACCTGAAGGATGGAAACGGTCTGGGAGAAGTGATGCTGTTCCATGGTCGACGTGGAGTATAGTGCTGCGAGGGGGTGGTCGAATTTCTGCAGGTAGCTGTTACTGAAGCCCCTGTGGTCCAGGTCATGGCACAGACACGCAATAAGCAGTCCCTTGCGCTTAAGGAGAAACCACAGTGCACAGATGTTCAAAACAAAGAAATGGGACATGAGGAACGTTACGGTTAGTATTCTTATCATACTGACTTCTGTCGCTGATGCAGCCAACATGCTCATGAATGCCTGAAATAACAGATAATCTAACTTCTTTTTTAACCAGTTTCTTTGTCTTTCTGCTTATGAACTTAACAGTCAAATTATTCTTGAGTTTTCCTGATCGACTCTGGTAAAAAGAGTAGGTGGTATCAAATTAAAGCAAATGTTCCAAAGAATCCCAGATAAAGCAAGTCTGCAAAAGGAGAGGGCAGTATCAGTTCTTCACTCAAAAATCTATTCAATATTAAATTCTAACGATGTTACTGCTATCATAAATGAGGAATATAGCAAGTAAATCATAAAGCATTTGAAAAATGGCAAATTGTATACAAAAAGATAAAAGGAAGAGCAGGCTGAAGGGGACAGGTGAGAGGCGGGTGTCTGTGATGTACAGCAGTTAGGATGGGCCTCAGACAGGCAGAAGCGCAGGTGAAGGGGAGAAGCAGGCGGCTCCCGGGGGCGGGGGCGGGGGCGGGGCTCTCAGCCAGCGCACATCCTGGCAGGGGAGCCTGCCCGCGAGTCACAGGACCAGAGTCACGTGACCAAGACTGACCACTGCGGGGGTTGCGGGGAGAGGAGGACAGAGAGGAACAACGTGAGGGCAGGGCAGGGCAGGGGAGGGTAAAGATATTATCTGTGATCCAGGGACCGATGGCGGGGTTTTTAGCAGAGCAGTGACATCATCTAGCTGACGTTCTTTAAAGGTCCCCACGGTGGCCACTGTACTGAGAACAGACTCCAGGAGGGTGGGAGAGAACTGGGGGAGGCTTTCGTCGTGACTCGGGCAAAACATAACAGAAGCTTAGACCAGGACGCCAGCAACACAGGCTTAGGAGACATGACTAAAGTCTGGAAGATCAGCAGAGCTTTCTGGCAGGCTGGGCATGAGAAGAAAGGAGGGCAGGACGCCGAGCGGGGGAGGGGAAGCCAAGCCTGAGGGCCAGGTCATCAGCCTTAGACGCTGATGGACGGGGTCGTCACTGAGAAGGGAAAGTTGAAGGGGGAGCGGGCTGGGAGGAGCGCTCGCGAACCGAGGGTGCTGGGGGTCCTTGGGAGCCACGTGAGAACAGCGACGCAAAGAGGAAAGCCTGACCCTTGGACCCGCACGGCCCCTGGACCAGAGCGTTTTCTGGGGGGTGATGGGGCTGCTTTCAGAGAAAAGGGGAGGAGAGGAATTGCAGGCGGCCACAGCACAGCGGCTCCACCGGGGGCCGGCGGCAAAGAAGAGCCTAGAAATCCGGAGGGAGCCGAGCGGACAGGCAGAGGCAGAGGGCGCAGTGAGGCGGAGACCCCAGCCTGCGACCTGCACGGGATGCAGAGCCTGCGGGGGACCCAGCGCGGAGGGAGCGGGGAGGGAGGAACCGCGAGGGCAGAGGGACCTCTGAGACCAGGGCAACTGGCAGGGCGGCTCTGGACAGGAGCCCGGGCAGCATCGGAGGAGGGCGTGAAGCCGGCGTGCGCGGCGCCACCTGCCGCGGGGCCGGCGCCTGCAGAGAGCCCCACAGGGCCACTGCGCCTGCGCCCTGCTGCTGCCTTAGTCTCGCGGAGCCGCGCTGGTTTCTCCTGCCACCTAATGGGCAGGGAGGTCGCCCCGGGCACCCGCACCCCTAAACTATGCGGTAGGCAGGGGACCAACCCTAAGTGTTCGGAGGTCTTAAGACACTGAACTGTGTATGTTCTGAGGGTCGTTTTGTTTGGGGGCTGTTCCCATATTTTATGCTGCAACGTCAGCCATAATGAATCTGGTAAGAAATGTCAAGGTTGTAAAATCTGGCACAATAGATAAAAAGCTTTCTAATTCCTTTTAACCTATTTTATTTGTATTGATGTTCAATAGTTTTGTCAAGTGTATGCCAGAATCAAGCATCTGAAAATAATTTACAAAGAACTACCTTTGTTAACTTTTCCTTTAAAAACATCAAATGATCATTTCTAAAGCTCTACTAGAGATTACATATGCACCTTATAAAATATATTTTAAATACTTATGTATGTTATTTTGGGGTTATTTTTAGCCAAAAGACCTGAAGTTTCTGGAGAACCAGAATGATATAATTCTAGAAACTTAAATGGAAGTCAATATATAGTAACAAAACTTATCTCATTTGTCTTAAAACTTTTCCATTTTTGAATATAAATTTTAATATAATCCAAAAGAATAATTTCTATAATTCTCAAGCTTACAAGCTAACTTTTGGCAGAAAAGATAATAAAATTGCTTTCTTAAAAGGAAGTGAATGGAGAAATACTGAAATTTTAAAAAATATGGGGTTCAATGAGATGGAAAATTGTTTAGAAAAATTTATATTAAAAAAGAAAAATTTTCATCGTGTGTGTGATAAATAATAAATTATTGATTAGGCTAAGCCCCATCTAAAGATTATTAATAAAAAAAGGAACCTTTTGACTCTTTCTTTACAATAGCATTTTTTTTCTAAAATGCATCTTTCAAGTTTCCCACCCAAATTGTGAATTTGGTCTGACAGGATGGAAAGGACAGGACTAGACCTCAGGGTTCTAGTGTTGGTGGACGTGACCTGGGGAGAAGCACAATTTCTTTATCACAGAGACGGCAGCCCCCTTTTCTTCACATGTCCTGAAGCAGGAGGAGGGAAGGGTGGATTCGAGTTAGGGCTTTCCTAGGGCTGCTGGGACCTTGTGGAGAGAAGGCAGCGAGGCCGTCAGGAAGGTCCCGCCTGGGAGGAGCACAGCTGGGACGAAGGCGCCCCATTACCAAATTCGGGCTGGGCATTCAAGGAAGGGGCTCGACAGCAGTGCATGAATGGACTAGGCATCCCCAAATCTTCTCTGAGTGTGTCACCAACTCCAAGTCTGTAAAGTCCGGTGAATCAGTGGAACAGTGCCGAGCCCCTGTTCCCTTATGCTAGAGAAGGTCAAATAAGCATTTATGTTTTAATTGTATTTAGTGCTCTGGGTTCTCAGATGGGTAGGATATGTCTCCATTACCCAGGGCATAAGGGCATAGAGAACAATTCACTTTGTTTACATCCTTTCAGAAGAATTCAGCTTTAACGGGGAAGAAAGACTACAAAAATGAGTGTTTCCTTGAGGGACATTTTGATGAAGTTGGAATTTCTGTATCTACATTGCTTATACAAAATAATAGGGAAAATGCTTGGGTACAACAATTTAAAAAGTGTGCTTCTGTGAATTTACGGAACCAAAATTTGCCCTGGAATGACAATAGAGTCACCTAATTATATCATAAATGTACTGCAGACATAGAGTACTTCAACCCACTCAGGTTATTTGAAGCGGGAGAAAGAAAGGGTGTGCACACCCACCTCGAGTTCGGTGAAGAGCCCGTGGTTGTTCTGGAGTATGGCATACATGCAGTGTGCCACCGTGACCGCGTGCTTCCAGTTGTGGTAAGGGACCCGACGATAGTTTTTCTTCACAGACATGATAAAACGACACAACTTTTCAAGCTCAAAGCTGTGTGGAAAAGAAATTGTCATGATAGAAACTGGTAAAGAACCAGTACGTTCCAGGAGACCACTAGATGTGCACGTCTGTCCTGTACACGCTTGCACGGGTGAACACTTCCGCCGGGATGGGATGCAGGAGCACGGGGGCCTCACTCACCAACCTCCCCACTGCTTCTCCAGCCAGGTGAGAGAGGCAGACTCTTTGGTGGCTCGTGCTCTGACACGGTAACGGGCCCACCGGGGAGCAAATCCCAGAATCAGCTTGCCGTTACCCATCATGAACGCCCGCCACCTCTTCCTTAGCTTTCAAGCAACTCCTGCATCCCATCATGCTCAACAGACAACAGCATATCATCATCCTGTTCAAGGGTATTTTTAGCTAAGTTTTTCCAGAAAGCATATTCAGATTCACAAACTGCAAACATGTATACTATAAGAATTTCCTAGGTGAGTGATTTTCCTTTCAAGAGGAATCCAAATTACCATGGGACACTCAAATTATTAAGCGGTGGTAGCAGATGGCTATATCCAAATCTTGACGCAGTCCATGAAAGAATATGACGTATTTTATCATACAATATGGTTATAAATTTTTATGTGTATCCTGTGTTTACACGTATTTAAAGCCCCACCAACTCTCTCAGTGGATTTAAGGCAGCTTAAGACAAAGGCATATCAATATGAAACAGGACTCCCCGAAATACCAAAGAGATGAGAGTCCATAAAACCTCTAAATACATATAACCGTTATCTTTCTCCACTGAAAATTTCCAAATGTCCCTGAAGTGTGAGGTATATGATTTTAAGAGTTTCAACTGGTCGAAGTCTCAATTGCTATCTAAGAAATAAGTGGCATTAGTTACACTGTGTGCATCCTTTTGAGACAATAATTTATAAAAGTTGCTGATGGAAATAAGAGAAAACACAGAATTCAATAGGAAACAAGTGACAATTTAGTTCTAGAGATGCTAAGAGCCTCTATAAGCCACATAATGACTGAATTAGTAAAAAAAAAGAGAAAAAGAAAATTATTCCTTGCATTTTAAGTATGTTTTTAAGCTGTAAAAAAAAAAAAAAAAACCCAGATACAAAGTCATGAAAGGCCTCTAGGACAGGCCACAAGGAGAGGAGAGAGATTTGCAAGGAAAGGGCAACATAACTTCATTACTAACAAAGAACTAGACTTTGGATTAGGAGACCTGTTTCCTTCACACTTGTTTTAACTGATATATCGAAGTTAAAGGTGAAAGTCGATGTCAAATGTGTATGTACATTCCAAAACACACCTGAAAACAGTATGCAATTATGTTGAGAAGTAACCTCTATCTCTTTTAGCTCCACCTATATCCTTCTGATCACCTGGTTAGACCTGGTTGTTAACCAAGGGGCAGCCTCTGAGGGAATCTAAAAAGGCTGCACATTTGTCCAATAATCTTAGCCTTTTTAATTTAAATATCTAGAAAAACAATTTCTATATGGCATATTTAAGGTAATTATCAACCAAGAAAGTGGTGAGGCATTTAGGTAGGGAAGGAGGATTTTAAAGCAAGTGTGTGGGTCACACATACCAGGCTGTTCCACAGGACCGGTGGACCATGTAGACGAAAATTCCAGGCCACATGTTTTCAAAGGGACCGATGTCAAAGTGGAACCTGAAATAAACAGAAAGCACAGGTCATGAGCAAATGTAATTACTTAGGATAAACATAATAACAAGTAAAGGGAGTAATTTAACTTTTTGCCTATCAAGAGACTAAAAAAATACTGGGAGTTCGGCCCCCTCTTCCTGCCTCTCTCAGTCACATCTCTGTTGTATTCAAAGGTTTCCAGCAGGAAATTCCACACATTCCCTCAGGAACTTAGTCCAAGATCTAAGCCATTGCTTAATTCTTTATTAAGCAATCTGTAAAAAAAGGAATGTTGTGTTTGTTATCAGAGCAATGACAAAGTTCAAAATAATTAGATTATGAGCCCTACAACTCACAGATACGGGGGAGGATCTCATCTGAAATTTTCTGAGAGATGAAAATTAGTCTATTTCCTATTTTAATCCAGAGAAAAGTTTCATAAATATTAACATCCAAAGTTATTACCTATTTTTCATGTGCTAATTTGGTTACAAACATTTAACCCAAATAAGCAGAACGGGAAAGTATTAAAAGAGACCATTTTCCTCTCGTTACAGCACTTCTGACACCAAATGTGTGAGTTTTCCACACCAAGCAATTCTCCGGTTCTCCGCAGATGCCAGCTGATTTCCTGCAATTCAGTTCAATTCTGTCACTACCTGGAGTTAATGCAGACCCCAGAGGTTAGGGGCACAGGCCCACAGGCTGCCCCCACTTGAAACATCAATCACAAGCCCAGGCCACCCACACTCTAATCCATTGGCTGTTCCCACAACCCCTCCTCAGGTCAGATGATGCACTAGGACAGCTCCAGAACTCAGGGAGACACTTCGTTTACTATCACCGGTTTACTATGAGGGATACAACGCAGGAAGAGCCAAGCCAAAGAGATGCACAGGGTGAGGTAGGGGGGAGGGCTGTGGAGCTCCCATGCCTCTCTGGGGGCACCCCCTTTATAGCACCTGATGCCTTCACCAACCTGGAAACTCGCCGAACCCCTTGGTTAGGGTTTTTTGGAGGTTCCAGTACATGGGTATGGTTGACTAAATCACGGATCACTGGTGATTAGCTTAATCCCCAGTTCTCCCTGGAAAGGAGTCCAAGGGTAAGGCTGACTTCCAACCCTCTAATCATATGCTGGTTTCTCTGGCAACTGGCCCTCATCCTCCGAGAGCCACTCAAAAACTCAGGGTGGCTGAAAGAGGTTTAATATGAGTAACAAAAGATGCCTCTCTCACCCAGATCACTCAGGGAATTACAAGAGTAAAAGGAGCTCTGTGCCAGGAACTAGCTACAAAGACTATAGTCATATATTTCTTATTATATCACAACATATACTATATATATATATATGTGTGTGTATATATATATATATATATATATACACATATACACACACACACACACACACACACACACTATATAATACATATGCTGTTAAAAGATAAACTGAAGCGTATTAAAAATCTTAAGAGTTTATTTGAGCAAAAACCCATTTGAATAGGGCAGCACCAACTTAAAGCGGTTGAGCGCTTTGGTGACAGGAGCCATGGAAACACATCTAAAGACGCAAAGAAAAGAAATTATTTGATTGGCTACAGCTTAAGGCCTAATTGGCTGTTCAGAACTGGCTGTCCTTAGCATTTCCATCTCGTTACCTTGAGGCATTTACAGGTTTTGATTTACAGGTTCGTTTACTAGGCCAGCAGGGCATTAAAGTCACATCAGTCTAACGGCCTCCTTGTTTAATTAATTTAAGAATATTCTGTTTCCAAGTATAAACAAATATCAGCTCTGGATCACTTCTGAAGATCTTTTATGTGGTTATATAGTGTTGGCTTGTACTTCTAACGGGCAGGTCCTACCACCAGTAACAAATACATTAGCATAGGATTAGAAACAAAGTGTGAAAGTTGAACTATTTATTACTAAATTCTCAGATTTAATTTGTAAATTTAAAATTATATGGAAATGAAAACTTTCAGCTATCTGATATTAAATGTCATTTTGAATATTAAATATTACATAGTGTAAAGTGTGCAAAAGACTAAAGAGAAAAGCTAACATTTAGGTTAAATCATTTCAAAATGGTATTCAGACTTTTTTTTTAAAGATAAAGAGATCTGGCTTTTCCTTCCTTCCAAGGGGAAAATGGCAACACAAGAAACCACACATGTAATATGGTATTTATGATTCTAATTCTAGAACCCATTTCACTTTAAATTCAATCAAATTAAAAATCTGTTCCTGAAGAAACTGACAAGACAAAACTCTCACAGTTCAATTTCTTTGCAAAGACGGGCGGGAAGGTTGAAATGCATGAGGCCTTGCCATTCCTCTGCAGTACAAATGCTATGATAGGACAGCTTCTCCATGGTGACCCGGTAAATGCACTCCGAATGACGAATTCTATGATACATCTGGAAAGCAAATCCAACAGAGGAAAAATAAAGAACGTTTAAAGTAGTTTTGTCATTAAAGTTCAGAATTTGGTATAAAAAAATCAGAACTATAATTGGATTCACTGTTACTTTCCATTGACTACTATTACTATATATATATTTCCATATACACTGAAGATATCCATGACACATGTGACTCTGAAGATACAAATAGTTTTTTAAAAAATTATATCTCCTTTTTTTTTTTTTTTTTTTTTTTTTTG